ATCCTCCTCTTGAACAATCTGCCTCAAGACTTTCAAATGCGAATGCCATACCGCTACTCGAGCAGATGTGAGATACTTGTGATACGGCAAAGTTGACGAGTACGGAGAGAGACTGAAATCTTTTGTGGCGCAGATTAGTTCCAAGTTTGTCTTCGAAATGCTGCTTTTGGGGCTAGACCCGTTTTCAAGATTAGTGAGAAAGTGAGAAAAGTATTCGCGGTCATTGTTGTCATCGACGAGGTTTGGAATCTCAGATTCCGTACGCCAAGTTCTGTGACTCCCATCGGAGTGATTGGCATAGATATCAAATGTCTTGAGGAATCCCAGTATCCGAGTCTTCAGTGATGGTTGTGAAATATATGATGCGAATCTGGATATTTCTTGAGGTGGTTCAGGCAACATAGACTGATTCGTGAACGAAGAAGTCACCGGCCATTGGAAGGGAAGTTTGACGCCTGTAAATTTTCGATTTGACTGACTAGACTGATACGGAGGGGATATTGGCGTGGACAGAGGCAGGTGAGAAGTCGAGGTTGAATGCAGTTCCAAGTCGTCAGGATAATCTGCAAGCGCAAAAAGGTCACTGTCTTCTTCTTTCTCCTTTTCTTTTGATTTTTCGTCTCTGATTCTCTGCAGCTCCAATCTCGCCCTCATCGCCTCCTCCCTTAGCTTGTAGACATTGCTCATTATCGTTGGAACGATTTCTTCGTCCGCGTAAGTCGCATCGATAAAAGTCCAGTTTAAACCGAGATATTTTCGCAGGAATTCCATACGTATACGACGGTCGGCTCGATGAGGGAGTGAGATGACATAGATAGATTCATTAGACTGTAGTATATCCGTGCTCATGGAGAAGTTTGAGTGGCGAAGACGAGGTATAAGCGGTCCTTCGCCAACTTTCAAAGCCCTATTGACTGCCCAAGATTTTTGCAACCTGTGAGGAAGCGGAAGCAGAGAAAAAAGCTTGTTTTGGGCTGTCAAGGTAGCAAAGAGCAAGCTTGTAGAGGAAATTATCAGGAAAAGCGAGACGAAAGCACAGATACGAAAGTAAGAGGTTGACGATAGTCTTGATAATCTTGCTAATGCGCGAATGCGGGTACCATTTGGAAAAGGAGATGATATAAATACACGCCGGTTGTTTTCTGATTTGCGAAGAGTTTTCATCGTATGTAGAAAGGAAGGATTAAAGCAACACAAATGGTTCACAACAAAAGCCGCGATTACTCACTTGATCACATGTTTTTGTCGGACCCCTTGAATTTGCATTTCGACGTTGAACTTCTCAAGTCCTCCAATACTTACGCAAATAATGTCCGAAGAGTACGTTTCTTCAGCCTAGAATACCTACTTACCGCTAACCTACGCATTCATAAGAACTCCAACTGCTGCTGTCTCTACACCAACTCCCGATACCGCCGAAGCAGTACCACCATCTCCAGTTCCTCCTCCTTCCTCTCGTCCTCGCATCTCTCTCGGTAATGGCACCCGTGGCGGTCGAGGCGGCAAATCGATGTTTGGCCTTGTCTTAGGCACCCTTAACAAAGCAAAAACTGAATCCAAGGAACGTGAAGCTTCCGATGCAGCAAAACGTCGTCAATTACTCGAAGCACGGTTACAAGCGAAGTTGAGGAATGAGACAGCGGAAGTAAGAAAACAGGAAGAGGCCAAGAGAGATAAGACGCTTGCAGTGAGGAAGGAGGAAGAGTTAGGTGTGAAGCTTAGCGTGTATAGATTGAGGAGGACGAGAACACCGTATCTGGCAAATTTTCTATGCACAAGTGATGTTATACCGGATGAACTGACAATGGAGGACGAAGTTGAACAAAGTACGTTCATACTTTCTCGCCCGCGGAACAAGGCTTGTCTAATGCTGGTTTAGATGCAGACGATTCACAGTTTCATGCAAAAATACTAGAAAAAGCGAAACCTCCAAGGTCACACCCACCACCTCTGTACTATCTACCGAAAAAGCTGCTTCCCTCACAGGAAGCATTCCTCAAAAAGCGGAAAGAACAAGTGAGTTCTTTCTTTCATCTCTTTCTTTTCGTACATCTCCCTACTTATCTTGATACCCTTGTACCCTATATCCACCGAAATGACTATATACTGATTTCCTTGTGATTCACAGATAGAAGCCGCTTCCGCAGCCGAATGGTCCGCCTTTGTTACCGAGCGCGACGCAGGCGTCAAAGAGATTAGAGAACTCAGAGAAAAGGTTCTCAACGCCACCACCGCACAGGCTGATGAGAAGGAGGAAAAGAACGTGACAAATGGAGGCCCAAAAGGGCACGGAGACGATGTCAATATGGATCTGGATAACAGCAATAAAGTTGAATCGACGGAACCTACTTCAGCAATAGAAGTCACTTCGGGCGAAAAGGATAAGGAGGGTTCAGGAGCTGCAGCGATGGATGTCGACGCAAAACCGACTTCCACGCAGCCGGAAAATGACAACGATGATGCGGTTGAATACTGAGCTGGACCTCTTGACAGTGCTCTGTAAGTTGTTTCGTTTATCTGCTGCTAACTAGCTGAAGAGAGGAGTGAAGGTCATGATTACCACAGGCCGACGATGAACTTTGGCATTGTACCCGTGTGTTCTGTGTTACGGTATTGTTTTGTGCTCTTATTTTTCTCCTATCTTTTATTCTGCGATATACAGATCGGGATTCCCGGTGTTCCCTTCCTGGCGTTGTTGTTGTCGTCACTTCGTGCCTGCTTGATGGTCTGCTTGGTATCTACTTATGTCGCAAATTGGGACTCTTTCGAAATCCTACGTAGCATGTCGCCATTTTGCTTGCTACCTCGTTGGCCTTTCATTTCGTTCCTGATTTGCAGTGAACTATTTGGATCCCTTCGCTATTATCATTATCCTTGGCGGCGCGTTACTGATGGGGAAAGTTTATATGAATTCAGTGGGTGGACAATTCGTCTTACCGTCTCTCTCAATCTGCTCCCAACATTTAAAGTAAACACGTCTAAGTCATCCACGAGCTTTGGAAGGAATCCTGCACAACTTGAGATTAATACACTGAATAAGTACTGTCGGCGGGCGCTCAACTGGCCCTGCAGAGTTCTTGCAACCTTGCAGCTACATTACACTCAGTCATGTCCCGAAGACACCGGAAGTTGAGATATTATGTATAAGTACCCGCTGCGATTTTATTGATCATCAGCTCGGGCGGTCAGTCTTGGACAAGGTTTGCAACCTTTTGCAACCTCAATATAGGGAACGGGATGTCAAACTTCCTCCCTCCGACATGCCAGATCATTGAAAACCCTGATATAGCTGGTGTGTTAAGTTCAAGCCATCCGACGCGTAGTTGCTCTGATTCTTCTATCTCTACAGGCATCGGAGTTCGTCTTTCTATTTATATTCCAGCTGTACTAGTCACACTTAATTCTGGCTATGTCGCGGCCAAGATCTGCGTGGACGTGCTCACAGGAAAACTATCTGAGTACCTCAGATCTGCATCCCTCAGGTCCTTGTCGGATGGTAGTAATTCCCCCTCTACTCCTGCGGATATCGAACTGGTTGACCTCGAAGCAGCAAGTCAGCTGGGTCGTTCCTCTTCTCACACTAAGTCCTCTCGACTTTCTAATTCCTCTTGGTTGGACGATGACTTTGCGGAATCATTAGAAAGAGACGCCCGTGGTTATCTCTCTTACCTGTCCGACCATCCACATTACTTTGAATCTAGTAAATCCCTCGAACGCTCGCTTTTACTGATTGGTTCCGCGATAATCGTCAGCGCATTTCTCAATGCTTCAAACTTCAGTCTTCCTCCTTATCATGCCTTGCTCGTTCTGAACCTGTCTCTCCTCAACAACCTTGCTGGCTCAATCTTGCTCCCGATCCGGATCATAGCAATGTTTGCCGACATATGGTTCGGTGACAGGGAGGAGGATGTACTCTTGCCAAAATCCCTTTGGTATTTGGCTAAGCTTGTCGATGTTTTCGGCCTTGCGGTCCTGCAAACGCTGGTAATCATTGCTTTTGGCGTCTGGTTCTGGGTATCCACAACGTTCTCTCACTCGTTCAGTGGGTACAGCATGACTGTCGACAAACTGCTGTCTTCGGCATCGTACAACTCCACCATTGCTGCGTCGCCTAATGGTCCGTCGGACCCATCACAGTGCCTCTCCAGAACATTGTATTGGGCTTTCGTCAATATTCCTGTTGAATCAACGTTGTCTCTACAGATAATTTCCCTGATGTTTTACATTGGCACAGCTGCTTTTCCGATCCTTGGTCCATTGATTTATGTGATACCCACCATTGTCGTTATCCGATCCGTTCCGCTGCTTTTATCAATAGGATTCTCAGCTGCTATTTATCTGTTTGGTATCGTCCTGCCGCGTATGGCAACACGTCTCACATATACCCTTCTTCCCAAGTTATACCATCTCTCCATTAGCTTACCCTATTCCCATAAACACCCCTTCCCAATCATACTTTCACCCTCCGCCCTCTCCACGAAGCTCATATTCTTCACAATCGTCATCATGAACCTGTCCACCATCTTGTATCTCATCGTTTCCACCGAGAAAGTCATTTCTATAAATTCTGCTTCCCGGAAAGGTTCAGTGGTGATCAGTGGTCCGCAGTGGACATATGGACAGACTCTGGCGCTGTTGACTGCGGTTATTGGTGTATTTATGTATATCGCGGAGCTCTTAGGAGAATGGAGGGAAGTTGTGCTCGAGCGTCGGAAACGTCTGCGGGAGGAAGATGATAGCAGCCTTGAGAATGCGGATGGAAAGGATGGTGGTCAAATTAATAGTGGCTCAGAAACTGGCATTGCGGCCGATTTACAGTTTTCCTGGACTGGTGCGCGGAGGGATGGTCATATTCGGAGGAGAGCAAATAGTATCTAAATGTTCCTAACATCACAAGTAGCAGAAGAAATTCGCATAAAAAGTTGTCACTGTTACATGAGAGAAGATTCGAAAAAAAGAATGAAAATTATGAATTTCTTTTGCAAAAAGACACTTCTGTCAGTTCGCGGCGTGGTTCGAACACGCGGCTTCAAGATTTTTCAACTCGGTTGCAATCTCACACTCTACCACTGAGTTACGCGAACGACATCATTGAGATGGGGAATACCAATGGAAGGAGGGAGGTAGAAGTGGAGGGGAGAAAAGTAAGACAAAAAAAGCTGAGGACTTGTAGCTGTACTCTACCTTGCTCGATAAGGCATCCTGGCACCAAAAATTCTGGTCACAACACCACATGGGGTATTTACCTTGAAAAAACTTAGACACACATACTTGTGGAATGGGACCAGCACCATCGGATTAACTTTGTATGGGACTGAAAGTATAATACTTGATAGCGATATTTTAGTGGATTTGAATTGCATGTTTACAGGAGGCTAATCAGCCAGGTAAGCCCAGCTTTTTCTTCTCCTTCTTACCTGTGGTTCGACTCGAAATTTGTATCATCAGATGATAAGGTCAATTCTTCATCGGCATGAGAATGCTTTCGATTATTGAGCCATAAAACGAATAAGATAAAAGCCGCAATCCTTTCGGATATGCACTGGTATTCTGATGTTGCATCAGATCCAGGATATGTGATATCCCCAATTCTGAAATTCCCAGATAATGGAGTCAGATGGAGTCGGCGAGCTATTAATGCGAACCTGAAGCAAAAACCACTATATGTATACTGAGCGTTGCAACAAACTTACTCACCCCCCACTGGAAGCGATACTACACCTATTCGATCCTCAATATGCCTTTATTTAGCCACAAATCTTCGGCGTCGCAAGAGAAACAAAAACATTTCTCTTCCCACAAAAGTGGCGTCACTCCTCCTGACCTTGACCGCGCTCGTTCCATTGCCGCCACGGTCTACAACCCAGAAGCCTTCCTCGAAGAAGCCAAAGGCGCTCTTCGAGACATCCAAACTATCCGTTCCGTTACTCGCCCTCCTCCTCAGAACGCAGGAATGATGTCGTCAATGGCTCTTCACGGCGGCGGTTACACACGAGAGGAGCTTGCGATGATTGAGATCCTGAAAACCACCGCGGAACATATCGAGGTGGCAAAGGGATATGCGACACATTGTATTGCAGATGGAAAGAAGAAGGGAACTGAGGCAGAAAACGATGCAGTTAGAGAATGTGCACAGGATTGGGATAAGTTGAGGAGGGTTTGGGAAGATTACAAGAAGAAGCAGGGAGAGAAGTGGGCGCATAGGTGCATTGAGCAGCTAGGAGAGTTAACTGCTAAGGCGTTGGGCATTTGGGCCTGATTGCAGGTGATGTATGCAGGATGTGCTAGGGTGGTTCTGGTGTGAACAAATCGCACTATCATTGATACAGGATGTAAATATTAGATCGGCATGTAAAGGATCAAGAAATTGTCGTTACTGATCATAACGAAAGTAAAATTTGAGAGTTTTGCGGAGTTTCAGAAGTAAATTCAAGTAATCGTTTCGTTGTTCATGCAAAACAGTGGTTCACGTCAACACCAAGTCAGGGCATAGGAGACAAGTGACAGTCGCGGAGTCATTGCAGTCAGATAAGATATCCTTTCAATTTTCGACACTTCACAACAACCCGCATACCAGCCTTCTCGATGCGCGTGAGTGGCTCGTAAGGCCCAGGGTCAACGATTTCTGGTAGATGTAATTCGACGGACCTTAAGCACACAGCCCCGATCTCCATCGCAACCTGGCAGCCAACATGAGGTGATGGTCTCGACGAATGAAGAAGCGTCGAAGCGTTTTGTTTTCACTTTCATAGCCAGGCAACGTAGTTGCGGAACAAATAGACCTGGTGACCTTCGTAAGTGACTCCGTTCCCAAGTGTGTAGACTTTTGACAAACGAGGTAGAAATTGGTTGGAGCCGAGGGTTCTTAGTAGGGTTTGTAAGACATTCCTCCTCAATATGCAGGTTTTGAAGATTTGGAAGCCGGAGTAAGAGCGAGACCAAATCCTTGTCAGAAAGGAAACTCCCTTGGATTGTTAGAGCTGTCAGGCAGCATTTTGAGCGTGCAAAGAAAGCATTCAGTATTACAAACGCCTCTGGTATGTACACCGTTGCCACCAGCCTGAGGAAGTTCAACCTTGGTAGTGTCAATACTACCAGAGGGTTGCCATCTACAAGGTGGCTAGAGTCGTGCATGTACACCTCAAAAGTATCAATAGGAGGTAACTGTGGAAGAACCATAGGCATTTCAGTGGGACCGTCGTTTATGGTAGGATATAACACAAGGTGACGTAAATCGCGGAAACAAGTCAGTAGGTGCAAGATTCGGGCAATTTTCATCTGCCAGGGGAAGTCGAATTTGGAAATCTTCTCTAACTTGGAAAGTGCATTAACAACATCGTCATGATGCTTTGAATAAACCAGCTGTCTGATGTGAGGCGCAGCAACGAGCGATTCTGAACGGAAGGAAGCTTCGAGATTATCCATGTGTTCTCAAGGTCCAAGGTTTGGAGCATAGGGAGAGACAATGACTTCAAACAAGGGTAGCTATCTCCACCAAACGAATCGCCGTTGAATGAAAGATGTTGCCACCGATGAGACTCTCGTGCCAACATCGCAAGAGCCACATTATTGATATTAGGAATGGCAATAAGACTCAAGGACAAGGGGTATGTTTTTGATCGCGTTAGGTAGAGTGCCAGAGCCGATTCGGTATGCTCGTCGTCATCCTGCGAATCAATCGTGAGGTTCAACCAGAGTGCCGGATTCGAGATTGCCAGCTGTCGCCATCCAGAGCAAACAGAGCTGATGGTCAAAGCATGAGCATATCTCCAGTTGTGTGTCAGCATGTTATCTTCGCAGCAAAGCACAAAGGTGAGAGACAGAATGTCATCCGCAAGGCGTCGAATGAGGGACAAAAGTGCGGAGAGTTTCTCCGTGTAATTGAGTAATCCTTGGCGTCGCAGGCGTAGGCGATGTGTGTCTTCTTCATACTTCATACGGACACGCTCCATTTCTAGGTCATAACCTGCGGCATCTTGTTTCGCCAATTTCAGCAGTCCTTTGATTTCAGCTTCAACGGTAACACCATTGGACGAACGAAGTCGTTCATTGAGTGCAGCATTATCAACTTTGATGCATGGTTCGAAAGGTTTCTGGGTATCCGGATGGGGAATTCGAGTCTGAGAGAAAATTTAATGTGCCGTCGTCAGGCCCGAGGTTTGAAAGACAATGTATAGGCTAGAAAATCAAAACATTCAAAAGACCATACGAGAGCCTTATCGTAGAAACGTAGCGTCAGGAGGGAATATATTTATAGGGTGAGTTTTATGAACGGTCACGATGGTGACTGTGCAATGAAGAAAGGGATTGATTCCTCGTGACTGTAGCTCAATCTCCTCATAACTGTCATGCGTTTACCGTCGCTGTCCTTGTTCCTGCTTTTTTACTTCCTTCTATCCTCTTGCGATGCCTCTTCGCAGCATACAAACAACTGGGCTGTCCTTGTCTGCTCCTCCCGATACTGGTTCAACTATCGGCACATGGCAAACGCACTGGGGATGTACCGCACTGTCAAACGCTTAGGGATCCCAGATTCTAATATCATCCTGATGTTGGCGGACGACGCAGCGTGTAATTCAAGGAATAAGTTCGCTGGAAGTGTTTACGCAAACCCGGGGAGACATCTGGATCTGTACGGTGAGAATATCGAGGTAGATTATAGAGGGTATGAGGTTACGGTGGAGAATTTCCTAAGACTTGTTGGTGCTTTCTTCCTTCTCTCGAAATTTACCTGATCTTGGTTCTGAAAACAGCTAACAGGCCGCCTTTCATCCTCCGTTCCGCGTTCCAAGCGTCTCTTAACTGATTCATCCTCGAACATCTTCATCTACCTTACCGGCCACGGCGGAAACGAGTTTCTCAAATTTCAAGATAACGAAGAAGTTTCAGCGCACGATATTGCTGATGCCTTCCACCAGATGTACGAGGGTGGAAGGTATAATGAGATTTTTTTCATGGTAGATACATGTCAAGCGAATTCGATGTACTCCAAGTTTTATTCTCCCGGTATTCTGGCGACCGGAAGCTCAGTCGTTGGAGAAAATTCTTATTCTGTGAGTTTCGACAGAGCCGTCTAACTAGACTGAATATCCTAACCTATTGCTTCGTCTCTTAGCACGAAAACGATTATGACATTGGTGTAGCTGTAATCGACTCTTACACTCACTACGTTCTCGAATACATGGAGAAAGTTAACAAAACATCCCGCCTTACAATGGCCGACCTCTTTACCTCTTACGACGTTCCGAAAATCGGCTCTCACCCTGGCGTCAGATCAGATTTATTTGAGCGTCCTCTGGGTCCAGGAAATCCGAATCACCCAATGAGCGAGTACGGACGAGGCAGAGGATGGACTGTCGAAGGCGGAGGCGAATGGATGGGAAGGGAGATTGAAGCTGGAAAGAATGGAAGAGCGTTCAGAGAAGCTTTGATCACGGACTTCTTCGGAGGTGTTGTAGATGTTGACGTGAATAACGAGGATGACGCTGAATTGCGTCTGTTCGAGGATTCGGAGTGTATTTCTTCGCCCAAGGCGCCACTATCGCCCTCGACAAATACATATTCATCACCACCGTCTTCGCGATCGTCATCATCATTACTCGACACGCTTGACACCTATCCTTTCCTTCGTCCATCTCTAGCATTCATCCTCCTCGGCGCATTATTTGTGCTCGTATTCAGTGGAATGACCTCAGGACGTTCATAGATCAGGTTCTCCCTTGTCTCACCTTCCTATGACTGCTCGATTTCACGTGCAGAAATGTTTGCTAACTACGACAAGCGTCGAGAGGCAATTACATTCACCGCTAACTAGACGTGCGATTGGCATGCCTTCAAGGTTACTGCGGAAGTCCTCGGTGGTCTCTATATTTCAACGGTCTGTTATATCCTAGGCATGTCATCTTACTAAATTCTGCTCTCGCACTTTGAAAATCCCTCTGTACAATCCAAATCAGTCACTACTTGATTCTGGTTCGACTTGCGCTTCTAGTTATACAAGCTCTTTTTCGAGCGACGAAGTGTACACCAAGAATGGAAGTGTCAACGCTGAACATAGCATTATCAAATATTTGGCTATGTCCTC